TAAGAGTATTTTCAGGTAAACGATAACTAGTTGCATCATCATTATCATTATGAATATTTTTTGTCGAATTTGTTGATCCTTCCATTGTACGATAGAAAGCTTTACCTTGACAATCATTTGGTTCAGGTCGTGCACAAAACATTTTTCCTGATGGACCAGTTTTAAATACAGTTGGATATGGACACATAAATGGTTGATCAACTGTTTTTTCATTTCGAGTTATACATACATGAAATATATTGCAAATATTTGGATCACTATTACAAAAAAGACTACATTGTTTAAGAATAATTATTACTATTATTTATTTACCTAAATTTGCCTGGTTGACCTTGTTCACATTCAAAATCTTTATTTGATGTTGATGGCAGAAGAGAATCGGATACTAGAATAGCAACTTTACCATTGTTTTCATTAGTATTACTACTATGTGTTTGTACCCATTGAACATATGTTGATTCACAACCTTCTTCTTCAATATCTTGAAAATAGAATAGAAATCATTTTTTTTCTTTTATGGAGTAAACGACAGACAAAAACTTTTCATTTGCAAACCTAAACAAATTGCTTTAGTTTTTGAATAAACTTTTGCAATTGGACAAACATGAGATTCAACTACACGACATTCCGTAAGAGAACAATTGCATTGATGATACACATTACAAAATTTTTCGTCCGCATAAAAAGATATTGTTGGTAAGTCTGTTGTACCACGATCAGGACAACGAGTAAATGATGCTACTTCATCAGGCAAATAAATTGTTATTGCTGATAAAACACTTAGCAGACCTATATTGTTATATATATATGTATATAGGTTTCAATGTTTTATCAAGATATTCTTTGCGTTTACTTACCAATGATGAACTTCCGGTTCATCATAGAATAAATAATATATATGTTTTAATAAGACCAAGAAAGAAAACTGAGTGATAGTGAGCTCAGCTGTCGCTCACTTTGCAAGTTGACAAATTACTGATTGTCACAAAGGTCTCTATCTCTTCTCTCTATTTCTTTTTTTTACTCTTTCTCGTTCTCTCTCTCTCTCTGAATCCTTATCTCTAACGCCCACTCCTTAGTCGACCGAATTCCATTGGTAAAGTCACTTCTTCTAATTCACTGTCAAATACCACCAACCAGTTAGCTCTTTCTCTTTCTCTCTCTCTCTCTCTCTTTCTTACTCACTTTTTCTTAACGCAATGAGTGAAGAAGGATTAAAGAGAGAGAGATAGTAAAGAAATTAATTGGAGAGACACAAGAAAAGGAATTTGGTGTTCGCGCTGAATCTTTTTTTTCTCGTTTCATTGTTACTTAAGTCGTTCGTTGCTGACCTTCCGTATCATTCCTAGGTATTCTATGTCACATAGATTGCGTACGTGACGCGCCATCGAGCAATTACACACGACCACCAAGATTTTGTTCGTTTTTTTGAGCGCTCGATGATCTCCAATTACATCACATTCTTCTGAGTAACACGGCGCCGCCGTCTTAATCCGTCATTTTATGCCCGTCACTTCTTCATATTTAGTGACCCAATGAGTAACATGCAAGACGTGTTCACAATTCATAAAGATTTCTCTTGTCTTCTTCATTTTTTTTCGTTTGTGTCCACTACTATTACAACAATTAGTCGCTTTCTCATTTTGTTCGTGATGTAAATATTGACGAGCTCAGTTGTAGTAGTACTTCTACATACATGTTCTGACTAGGTCTGTGCGTCAATCATGTCAATGTCTCAATTAACTTGCGTTCTATATCATTAGTGTACAGGTTGACTAGATGTTTTTTTTTGTTTGTTCAATTAATTAGCTAAGAAAGAAAGAAAGAAAGACTAAAATCCATAGCCAAATACATAAAAAACAAGTCATTCATAAAATATGTATTTGAAAAGATAACCTTGTAAATATACATTATCTTTCATTATTCATTGTGTATCAATTGTTGAAAGAATAGCCGAAGAGATTATCATTTTTTATCATTAATTGAATAAAATATTAGAAGATCAAACTTTCTTTCGAGGACATTTACTAATAAGAGCAATAACGAATGACCATGCTTAATCACAGTTTTAATACGGATCTATATTTCAATGACATTTCTCGTATATTTATATACATGTATATATATATATATAAGTACTCTTCAATGTCGTAGATGCATACAAAATTAAAAAAAACGAAATGACAACTTACTTGTAAAAAACAATATTTGATAATAATTATTAATCATTGTTTATTTTTTTTTAGAAAAAAAGAAAAAGATTCTATTTCTTCTCTTTTTTTCTATGTATAAGATTTTGTTCGATCTGGCTTGAATATATCTTGTCCTACTCTCAACGAGTAGAAATCTTACTTGTGAAAATGATTAATGGAAAACAAATTGCGTATGTGTGCACATTTTTATTTCTCCACCTACTAATTCATGTTTCTCTAAATCCTGACTATAGTTTACTTGATCCCTTTGCCTCTTCTCCTATTGTTCTATGCCAGTTTTTTTTACTATATACTTTTTTCGGTGTCTCTATCTGCATAATCATCATTATTATTTTAGTAGTTCTGTACGATTTCATTGAATGTTCTCAATAATTGAATCGTATGGTGCGTAAGCTGACGCAACTGCATATATTTTATATTGATTAAACGACGATATTTGTACAAGATCAGATTTTTACACATGTAACAATAGAGATATGTAAGCAGCTCAGGTAGGCTCAGTAGTTCACTCTATATATATGTATCCACTAAAGTCAAATTCATTCTTTTCGTAAGAGACATATAAGCTTCTACATTTGTTATATGAGAACAATACTTGAACGATAGCCTAATCTGGTTCAAACAAAACGGTCTACTGCCTTTTGACATATATGTCTCGAGACATATACTCATCAGTTATAAGAATAGTTAAGTACATAGATCAGTATGTGATAGTTGAGCTACATAATCTTCATGATGTAAACCACTTTTCTTCATGCATTAGTGAAAATAAAATAGAACGAACGTGACTTTCTCATCGATTAATATGCATGTATTATTTTTGTATTTATCCAAGTTGAATAACATACATATAAAATGGATGAAATTTGATCTAAATATATTGTACAAAACAAAAAAATAAATAAATCTGACTGAAAAAGTCTCCACATTAATTTAATGTTAAAAATCAAACTGATAGTATTTCTTGAATTAATCGATTTCGACACAATATGAAACTCATTGATAAAACAATTTTCAAAATGAATTCCAACCTGTGCCAAAAACCGATAATTCAATCTGATTTAATAATACCTGTTTCATGTAGATCAAATGTTTTTTTTTGTATTTCTAACACACAGATTGGATAAATCGAATACATTAATGAAAAAAAACGAAATAGGAACTATATAAATATGCACAATAATTTTTCCTATAAGCAAACATACTCAAAATATAAGAGCTCTTGATTTATCAGTATTTCTATCAACGAACGTTTGCTCTTCGTTTTTTTTTTGTAAAGATCAGTACTAATTAAAACGATGTTGAATTAGCGTTTTCTTGAAAAGAAAGAAACATTTTTCTTTTGTTACGCATCATATCATTTAATTTTTCTCAGTTAGCCGTTTTTTTCTCACCAACGGTTTATATTAATGTCATATACATGTATATATAAATAGTAAATTGCGTAAGATAAACAAACTTCTGATGATATTTGTTCTTTTATTGTTACTTAATTTGTAAAATGGCATACGTTTTTCTTTCCTTATGGCGTAATACCAATTCGAGTATTATTGCTACTTGTTAGAGTACGTGTTCATCCTTTTATGCGATACCCTTTACATATGAGTTATAAGCAAATATCTCCTAGAAATAGAAAAATTCCTCAATAATTCGTTATTTTTCACTACTGATTGTTAAAGATGAAGATGATGAAATAAAATATTCAACAAAACCGTACTTTCAGATAATCATTTCTTTAATAAATCAAATATCGATCATTTATTTACTCGAATGAATAAAGTATTTGTTTTATTTACTTAAGAAATGACAAAAAAAATGCTTTATTGTATGTTATTGTTTTACTCACATTCTTTTTCGTTCGATACAAGGAAAGAAAAATATTCACTTATTCATCCGTCTATCAAAAAAAAAATAGTAGAATTCATATAGTTAAAAAAGAGAATCTTTTTAATTGATAGTAGAATTTAAAATAATCATGTTGATTTTTCATAAATAAATACAGCATATTCAATTTACTTGTGATCTAATGACCATCGTGACTTATTACGATTATCTTTAAAAAAAAAAAAAGCTTCGATCACGATCGGACTTTATGATTATTTAATGGTCGAAATGACTTTTCTTATAGTGTGTAATTAGAAAATATGATGCAAATGCATTGTTGGCTTGAAATAGAAAACGTGATGTCCATTTGAAATAGAAATGCATTTAAAAATATATAGTTAGACAAGAATAAGAATTGCTCATTTCTTTAACAGTGAATAATTTGATAATAATTTAAAACAAATATTCAAGAATTATACTCAGCACATCTTTCTTATTCAAACAGTATTTTTCAAAGCTTTGCATAATATTATTATTTATTGATCTTTACTTTTTCATTAATACGAACAATAGATTGAAGAACTTTTATCACACATTACTTAAACATAAAATTCATGGATTCATCTTTTGCAAACCTATGGCTGTAGTAATCTCGTAATATAAATCTTACTTTTGATTGTTTTATATTTTGCTAAAATAAGTAATATGCAATTTATTTTTTAATGTAATTAGTCATCATTTTTTCTAGAATACGCCATGTATGAATACCTGTAAAAATGTGCTATCAGTTTTTCTGCTGATGTACAACATTCTAATGACATTGTCACGCATGACATACTTTTCAATGCGCCAGATTTTTCTTCTCACGTGCAATGTAATGACGTAGCAGCAAATAGTACTTGGTAGGTATGATTACTATATAACGAAAGCTTGTTAGTTTAGAGTGTTTTCATTTTGATAAAAATGTCTTCCGCACGGGTTTCACATCAACGAGCTCCAGTTCGACCAACATTATCATCATATCGAACAGTTCCTCGTACTCCACCCAATCCTCGTTCTGTGACTGCTCCAAGGTTTTTACCAATTCTTCAACCGCCACAGCTTCCAAAACGAGTCGATTTAATTAATGAAAACAAGAAAGAACAGAAAAAACAAAAGAAAACACGTGATCATCAATCAGTACTAAATAATGATCAAAATAGAAAAGTAACAGAACTAAAAACAATTGGAGGTCCGATACTTAATTTACCACAACGTTATCCTTATCAACCATTAGCACACCAATCTACTCAACTTATTCGATATGTCGAACCAAAACATGCATATGTTTATTACATTTGGTAAACTATTCTTTTTTTTTTAATGTTAAGGTTTTCACCATAATCTCTTCTTGAAATAAAAAAGAACTATTGTTACTATCAAAAAGAATCAAATATTCATCAAAATAAACAGTGCAATTCATCTAAATCATATGAACAGATAATTTGATTGATAATGATTGGTAAATATTTTGCTAGACATGATAGAATATGATTCTTTTCTTGTTCGTGACGCTTCGATAGTCAATGTGCATTTTTTTCACTTTATTGATGGAAAATGAAACCTACTATTCAGCATATACACTTTATTTTTCTCTCTTTCCTTTTTCCTTTTCTGTTGTAATTGCGATTTTTGATTGTGGATCAGAAGAAGAGGACAAAAAGAAGTTACTTTTACCAACCATCATCGTGTCTTACCGATTGACTGTCAAAAATTACAGTAATAAAAGAAAAATAAAAGAGACAAATAGAGTGGCTGTATTCTAATATATTTCATTTTTCATCAATAAAGTGGGAAGAAAGTAAGATACGGATGAATAAAGTTCTTCTCTTCAACTATACCTAAACATCAACATCAATACTCAATAATTGTCAATGCATCATTCTTACTTTTCGAAGTTATCGATGTACTAGTAAAAGATGGTTGAATTTTCAAAAAGCTACTCAACTACTTACTTTATTATTAAATTGAAATTTTTGTAGCAAGTTCATTGAACTTTCTGAATATCTACATATACAAGTTTACTTAAATAGAATTGAACATCTTGAATAATGTCTAACAAACTCTTGCTGTCCTTATCATCAAACATGCGTCTTAACTGAGATCGTTGAATTACAACAATAATGCACTTTATTATTTCTTTCCTATTGTTTTTTTTCATGTGATTTTATAAAACATTTCTCTTCATTTTCCCATTGACACATTCAATAGTGTCACTTTCGACATTTTTCTATACGATATTGTATTCTTTTTTGTATTTTAAACCAAAGTCATTGAAACTATCAAAATATTTTCAAAGGAGAACAGTTTTGGTCAATTCATCATCCAACTATTTTGTATTGGGTTATACATGATATTGAGATTGAAATTGTATCATATTTAAGAGAAAAACTTATGGTGTTCACGCAGTAAAAGAAGTATTACAATCGAGAAAAAGCGTTGGTATTGACTATACTAATCTATAGATATCATCTACAAAATGTTGTTGAAATTGATCTTCATTGGTATTTCGGTTGGATTGGCATGAGGTGCTAGGCTTTTAACTCATTAGAAAATATTTAAAAGTGAATTAAGACTATTGTTTTTGTCAATATCCAAATGAGATGATTTCACATCAGATGCTTAATAAATGAATGAAACTTGACAAGGGTTACGAAATCAATTAAGATGACATAATATTGATAAATACCAAAACTTCATCTAGTTGTATTTTACAGTTCGATGAAGAACTAATTGGTGAATCCGTGTCATCAAATTACGTCAGTCTCGTGACAAATTAATTCTATGCATAACAGCGGCGTAGCCAGGAATTTTCTGAGTCATAGACCATTTTCCAATTAATATATTTGGAGGAGTGAGTAACGTTGGGCAATAAAAATCAATTGAACTATAAGTTTTTTTTAAACTGATTGCCATCACAAAAATTGATATTAATTGAACAAAAGGTCGTTACTCTCTACTGAGAGGCGAGATGTTTGCTTTTTTTTTGTACTGTTTCACAAATATACTCTTCAACTTTCAAATATTTGAAAATATTACGTCAACAAGCATGAAGAAGCACAAATAGAACCATTATCAAATTCTGGTGGAATAACCAGTATTTTGACAAAAAATTACTACTGAATTGTCATCATCGTGAGCGTCAGTTTAATAGAAAATAATAGTCAATTAATCTTTCTGAATTACTTAACTCGATCACAAAAAGATGCAATGTATAAAAATAACACTAGTTAGGTCTTTGTACATGTATGTGTATCAAGATTATTTAGTATTGGGCCATTGCTTAGTTTTTATAAAGATCTTATGATAAAGTTCCAATTCAACAATCTATAATAGTCATATTCAGCAATCAAAAACGTATAAGATATCAATTTATGGAAAACAACGTGACACAAAATTTAACCTTATAGGTTGTCACAAAAGTTTGAGAAAAATTTTGTGATTGAGATTTGAAAAATATTTCTCAAGAGGTTATGCATTTAAAACACTCGAATAAAAAAATGTTTCGAAAGATTTTACAAAAAAAAAATGTGTCTTACATATGAACGATCAGCTAATGTAACAAAAATTATATTGTCTGACTGAAGACTCCCTGAAATATTAAAAGAATTCTGTTTGTTTTCGTTTCATTTACAGTTTTTGATGATCGATATCACATGTTTGAAAACGAGCCGAGGAATGGGTGAAAGATTTGGAATATCTTTGAAAGGCTGAAAAAATCGATTTCTCCTATCAGAATCAATAAAAGCTTTCGACGAGATAATCATAGAATGCCATGCCGATGAAAGGTCTTGTAGTCACAACACGTGATGTTGTCTTTTCGATACTATCAGAATACAATTAATCTAGATGAGTGAATCACTGTAGTTTTTACATCGTACATGTACTTCAATAACCTGTTTCTAATAACAATATTTTCAACATAAAATTGGACGTCGATATAATGATTTTTCGCCAAAAATCCGATTTTCTTTAGAATATTCTAATAAACAGCATAGAATGAATGTAGAGTTTCGAGAGTAATTTTATTTGAAACTGGTCATTGAATTATGTTTGACACATAAAACTCAAACTGATGCATCACATGCAAATTATATTCTTAAATTGAGAAAAATTCTATACGCAAAAAAAAATTTCAAAAAACAATTAGCTGGCCGTCATTATGTAGAACATTAGATCTGTTACATGATTCTAAACATTATTTATTCGATTTTCTTATGAATTCTTTAATTGATTTAGAGCTTGAGAAGATCTTCAAAAGTGTAAACAAAACCTTTGCACTATTCCTTAAAAAGAAAATGGAAAAAAACTATGCTTTTTTTTGAAAATGAATTTTTCGTTTGCTTTTCGCTGGAGCGTCGTTATTAGAGAAGCTATTTCTAATAACAAGACACGGAAGTAAGTATCAAAGATGGCTAATTTCTGAATTACTATTGTTTATAGAAAACCTATTTTAATACTATTTGAAACTATTCCCTTCCAGGTTTATGCATGTATAAAAATAGTTTCAATTAAAAGTAGAATAATGATGTATTGAGCCACAGAACACGTGTCCTCTTGTTACTCTTATTAGAGTCATTTAGTCTATGTAGTAGAATATATTTATTCTTTAAATGTAAAACTTTATTGTAAGATTGCATCATGTTGATTTATCAAAGATATATTTCTTATAGCAATTATTGATTATCTTAATTTGATTTTTATCTGGAATGAAAATAATATTAATGCTTGTGTGATCGATCGAAAACTTTAGATTTTCATCTCTTATCAAGAATCAGTTAACTCTTAAAAAAAATTTCATGTCAATCAATACACTTGTTTTCTTTTATTAAGTGATGAAAAGATAGATTTTGTTTTGATTAATTATAATAATAATAATAGTAATAATATAAAATTTCTAATAAAACACAAACAAATAAAAACAAAGAAAAAAAAAAACCAAACTCTTAAACATAATTTATGGCAAATATTTAATAACTGTTTTGTTTCTTTTTAATTTTTATTCAAGTTGTTGGAAAAAATAATTTTTTTGAAAGTGCCCATTGTGAAAGAATAAACTGTTGGAATAAATCCATATTGTCACATTTCATATGTTGTCTGTCATTAAATAGTATATTGGGAGGAGTATCATTCTTGCATGATAATGATGCTTCGACTAATGAGCTGTTACTGTTTGTTATTGACTGACCATGAAGGCGTTGACTAGAAACGGCTGCTGCTGCTGATGTTGATGATGATGGGAGAGAAAAACGTTGTTGATGACATGGTCGACCATTTCGAATAAGTACTGGAACAGCTACACGTCGAGGTGCAGATATTGTTGTATCAAGTAAACCTTTCATAAGAAAAATGAATGAAAAAAAAAAATAATAATAAAGATAATTATAATTATTACTTTTATCCGGACGTGAACGTTTCATTTTATAACGATCTAGAAAAGAAAATATTTTATTTTATTTTCATGAAAAATGAGGTTTTTTTCTTACGATTTTGAAACCAAATTTTCACTTGAGTAGCTGATAAATTAATTGCACTAGCTAAATGTTCCCGTTCTGGTGCTATGAAAAAATAAAAATAATTAAAAAACAAAACAAAAACAAAGATGTATGGGAAATTTCTTCTTACCAGATAAATAACGTTGTTGTCGAAAACGTCGTTCAAGTTCAAATGTTTGTTGTTTAGTAAATAGAACGCGTCTTTTACGTCTTTTTGATGTTTCATGATGATGTACATGTTCTTGTTGAAGATATTTTGATGTTTCACTATCTTCTGATGTTGTACTACTATCAAGAGGATTTCTATTTAATGTTTGTTGTTCATCATCATCATCATCATCATTTGATGAATCATAATAAGATGATGAAACAGATGAATGATTATCATTTTCTAAACAAACAGGTAATAAACACAAGAAAAAAGTTTTTTTTTTCAAGAGATCTTATTGTATTTTCTTACCAACTTCCTCTGATGAATTAATATTTAATGTACTTGATGTAGTTGTTGTTGGTACTGCTGATGGTGTATCTTTTTTATTAACATTATTTGAGAGTAAATATTGTACAGAAAAATTCTTCATGTTAATATATTAATCGATGTTGATTAACATATAAAGATGGAAATTAAAAAAAATATAATCGTTTGCCGGAAAACAAGCTAAATATTCTGCTCTTCTTCTCCTTCTTCTTTCTCGCTCTCTCTCTCTCACTAGCTCGTTTTCTCTCTTAATAGACCAATGAAAAAGGAAAAGATTGACTCAATTACCCAATAGGGATCCATGATAAGCAAAAGAATATATTCCACTTAGA